TTGATGTTTCTCTCTCATCAGTGTTTCTATATCTCTCTCCCATTCTCTCTAAAAATCTACAAAGGTATATATTTTTAAAAAGAGTTAGTTTATCAATATTAACTCATTTTAACAAAACTACTTTTAAAAGTGTAAAATGCATGTTTTGGAAGCAAAGTACTATCTGAATAAAATGAATAATTATTTATTCACTTTACATTAATTTGTTTAGATCTCAATAGTGTGTCTTGGCTAACTGTAATAGCCTAACTACTAGTGCAGAGGTGATGTCTGGGAGGGGAGCTGAGTCACTGTGCACCCTATATAATAAAGAGGTAATATGCAAATTGAGCATCATGCCATCACAAGATGGAGGCACCCACAGTGGGGAGCAGGGCCAGGGCTAGAGGCTCTGTGTGCCTGCCACTAGAGTCCCCGAAGCCCCCCTGGGGCTCAGGTCCTCCTGTACCCCCCACTAGCTGACAGCTCTCCCATGCTCCTCCAACAAGCTGCTTATCTCTCTCTTCCTCCCTCTCCTAAAGCTGAAATCTGACTTTGGTGTCCTACAAATTGAAAGTTATAACTCATGTCTTTGAGAGTATCCTCCATTGCTCAGCCAGGGCTGGCTCCTCCACATGCCTGCTGCCAGAGTCCCCCCAGCCCCGCCAGGGGTCCTCCTGCACTCCCCACTGATTGAGACTCAGGCAAGTAGCACTTGGCAGTAGCCACTGCCCAGGGCTGGCCCGAGGTGCAGGCAAATCTTGAATGGTGACTGTCCAGCAGCCCAGGGCTGGCCCAAGGCTCAGGTAACCAGGGCCAGCGGAGGCTCGCTCTGCAGGCAGTGGCAGCAGCAAAGGTGTGATGGGGGCATCACCTTCCCCTGATCACCGGGTCACCTCCCGCATCTGAGGGCTCCTGGACTGTGAGAGGGGGCAGGCCAGGCTGAGGGACCCCTGCTCCAGTGAATGAATTTTCATGCACCAGGTCTCTAGTAGGAATATAATAGCTACATAAAATAGACTCACTTCCTCAGGCTAGTGCAGAACTTCATCTAGAAAACTCTATATAGGAAATTAATTCAAAGGCAGACAGGCTCATGCAAGTTTCATGTTTCTAAGAGCATTAGGATATGACAGCCTGTCTCCTCAGTAAGGGCACCAGGGCACAGGCTAGGGACTGCAGGGTGTGTAGCAGGGAAGCCCCATCCTAGGGCACTGCTGCCTGAACACAGACAACTTAAGTTTCTGCCTTTATCCTGATCATTTCCTATTAGGATAAGTAGGCCAGGGTGGAAATAGGGTTTGGTAGATATTTTCCTTCTTCACCTCTGTTAATATAGCTTGTCTTCCTCATCCCAATCGGGAAATATTGCTGAGAGTTTGTAAGTTTCCTGCTGACATTCCTCTTGTATCATCTACAGAGTACCATTTACCTTATAGCTTATGTTACCATTAGGTTAATGACTTCAGTATGTTTACCAGCCAGCAGATAAAGCAAAAATACAAGGGAAGTACTACCTTAACTATGCCTTTGAAACTTTAAAGGCTGATGCTCAGTTGGAGACCTCAGGAATTAAATGAGCAAATGTATTTTTTAGTGGATCCAAGGCCTTTAGCGATGTTGATTACCAGGTTCATCAACACTGAGCAACACTATATTAAAGAGTCTCTACAAATCCACCATTAAATTCAAAGTATGAAGCTATTCCTAATGAATTTTCCAGTGAATCAAAAAGCTAGACTGAGAATTCAGTCCCAATTTATGATGAAATATCACATACAGTTCAGTAAAGTGAGACAAGTCAGAGGGAAAGGAGGGGAAGTAGATGGGGGTGTGTGTGTGTGTGTGTGTGTGTGTGTGTGAGTGTCTGAGGTTTACAATTAGAAGGCAGAATATTTTATTCCAAAGAAATCAGTAAAAAAGAAGAATTCATTGAAATTAATAATAGTTTGATTTATAGTACTACCTTTCTTTCAGTGTAGCTGATAATTCCTTTTAAAAGACTAAACTCCTAAGACTTTATAAATTAAAGTCTTGAATTTTGATGGTCTAAACTTAGTGTGTTAAAGGCTGTTATGAACTGAATGCTGTACTTCCCCACTCCAAAGCCAGCAGCCAGACATCCCTCTTGCAGTCCGGTGCTCTAGCAGTCCGGGACCCCTCACTCCTTACCACACATCTAGTATATATACTAAAGGCTGGTGCAAGAAATTTGTGCACTGGACGGGCATCCTTCAGCCTGACCTGCACCCTCTCCAATCCAGGAGCCCCCAGGGGATGTTCCATGGGAGCGGGCCTAAGCCACAGTCTGGCATTCCTCTGCAGGAGGCTACTGGACTAATCAGGGGAGGCCACCACCCCATCACCCCAGTGGCAGCTGCCAAGGTGTTTTCATCAATATGGATTCCAGTCCCTTCACTACAAAAAAATGACAACTTTCTTTAGCCATTTTCAAGATGTCTCTTTCATAGGATATGCCCTTCCTCCCTCCCTCCCTCCCTCCCTCCCTCCCTCCCTCCCTCCCTCCCTCTTCCTTCCTTCCTTCCTTCCTTCCTTCCTTCCTTCCTTCCTTCCTTCCTTCCTTCCTTCCTTTCTTTCTTTCTTTCTTTCTTTCTTTCTTTCTTTCTTTCTTTCTTTCTTTCTTTCTTTCTTTCTTTCTTTCTTTCTTTCTTTCTTTCTTTCTTTTCCTGCACCTGAGGATATTTTCCCATTGATTTTCAGAGAGCATGGAAGAGAGAAGGAGAGACAGAGAGAAACATCAATGTGAGAGGGACACTTTGAATGGTTTCCTCCTGCATGAGCCCTGACCTGGGCCCCGTCCAGGGAGGAGCCTGCAACCTAGGTACATGCCCTTGACCAGAATCAAACCCAGACTCTGCAATTGGCAGGCCAAGGTTCTATCCACTGAGCCAAACCGGCTAGGACAGGATATGACATTTCTTAGTCCCTCCAGCAGTAGACCTTTGTTTTTTTCCTCTAGGATTGAGGTGGAAAAAAACCTAGATCATTTAAAAAAATATATATATTATTGATTTTTTTACAGAGAGGAAGGGAGAAAGAAACAGAGTTAGAAACATGGATGCGAGTCATCAATCAGCTGCCTCTTGCACGCCCCCTACTGGGGATGTGCCTGAAATCAAGGTACATGCCCTTGACCGGAATCCAACCCGGGACCCTTCAGTCCGCAGGCTGATGCTCTATCCACTGATCCAAACCGGTTTTGGCTCTAGATCACCTTTTTGGATTCTTATACCCAAGTTACCAAGAACACCGAGAGTGGCATATGGGAAGCCTAGCCAATGAGCGGTCAGAAAAGGTGCAGAGGCGGGTCTGCCAGCGCACACTGCTAGCAGGCCCTGTTCTCTTCAGGCCTGCGCCATCCGTGGCTTACCTCACCACACACAGTCCTCTCCTGCCCACCTGCTTGCGCAGCCTCTTCTGGTGTCCCGGCTAATTTGCATATTATCTGCTTATATATAAAGATGTGTGTGTGTGTGTGTGTGTGTGTGTGTGTGTGTGTGTGTGACCCTAACCTTAACCCTAATTTAAACAACTGGATTTAATGTACTGATTTACATAGGGTTTTTCCATTTAAAAACATAAGCTCAAATTCATCATGAAATGGTTCGCTACAATATTATTCTTAATGGTTGCAAAATAAATTTTTGAGTTGAACTAGAACAAATTAATCTCTATTATAAATAATACTATTTATGAATTTTCATTATTACAAATAAACAGCTCTGAATATCCTTATAGTTAATTATTTGCAACCACTCTTCATTATTTCCTTAAAATGAATTCGTAACACTAGATTGCTAAATCTAAATTTTTAACACCTTTAAAATATATTACCAAAGTGTACTCCAAATAAAAATTTTAACAATTTATATGTGAACTAACAGCTTTCACTAGCCCTTCATTTCCATTTAAGAAACATTTATCACTCATTAAATGCCAGAAATTGTTACAAGTATAGGGTACAAAAATAAATAAAGTAATACATTTATAGCCCATTTACTCCCATGATCAAATCCAAAGATAGAGGAATGGATGCATCTTCTCGATTAAAAACCAAACCTGTGGAATGAATTCATGCCATCAGGTGAAAAGCAGGCAGGAGATGACCCACTTTTCCCTCCCTGAGTCTATCTGAGCAAACATGAGAGATGATCTTGGATCCATGATGCATTTGGCTCCTCAGTGAGCCAAAGGAATTAAGAGAAAAGCAAAATATCACAATCCTCTTAATGCATCCTCGTAGCTTGAAATGGAGTTATTTTTAAATATCAGGTTGTTTGGAAAGGCGCTGTGGACCAAAGGAGAGAGAGCACTCAATGACATGTTATTAATTTCCCGCTCTTGACAATGTCGGGATGCGCTTGGGTTACAGGAACTCTCCCACAGTCAGGATGTGACATCAAGATTGCTTTTGTGCCATTTCTTAACTTCTCCTAGATCTCCACCCTCGTTACATTAAATGAGAACTCAGAGTGGCCTCAGGAGAACATCCCAAATGACAGCAGCAAGGACAGCGGTTCCAGGCCAGATGAAGACTCCGCCTACATATGGCATTTTCTTCCCATTGCTTATGAGGTTGGAGCAGGGACCTGCATCTCACCAGCTCTTCTCCATGGGGCTCACTTCTTAATGACTCATTTACCCCTGAGAGCCACTTATGCAAGAAGGGCTGCTTCTTTTAGAATCTAGTGCTCTGTCTCCCTGAGTCAGATAAGGCTTACTTAATATAGAAAGTGCACTATCCTTGCAGAGAGCACTTCCTGCCCTGCTGCAGGTGACTGCTAATATATGTATAAGCAAGTTTGAGTTGTTTCCTTTACTCCTTTCTCAAGATAATATTACAAAGTTTTAATACATTTCCTATCAAATAGCATAAGCTTTCCTTACGTTGGTATAACAATCACATCACTTCTTATACATTCTCAGATGATACAATTTAAAGTCGATTTTTAGAAGTTAGAGGATACATCAAAAACATGAAATGAAAACTAAGAGCATACCTGATAAAAGTTAGGCCAAAAAGTACTAATGGCCAGTTCTGCCCTGTTCCATGTGCGTGTCGGCTCTCCGGATATATTCCAGATCGGGTTCCCCAAAGGCCCATTGTTGACCTTCACGTAGACATTGAGTAACCCGGGAGCAGAGTTACTCTTGCTGGACACGAAATAGTGAAAATCAATGCAGTGGGTATCGTTTTCTTTGAGCTGCGGTAAAAGGAGGTGGGCTCTCTGCCCCTCGGGTCTGCCAGATGTGTTCACCAACATGAAAGAACCTGAGAAAAGAAAAATCAAAGGAGAGTCACAATCTGAAACACAGCTTTCTGGTCACTTCTGAAAAGCCACCATCATTGACATGGCTTGACCCTGAAATTCCGTACCTACCTAGGCTTTGAAGATCCCATCTCTCTCATACCTTTTCACCCCCAAAGTATTCTCAAGATCAATGAATGGAAAATTCCTTTGATGTCACTGAAATTAGTCTCCTAAGTAACAGAAATGTGCATCATTTGCAGACATGTTCTGGTCAATCTGGTAACCACTAAGCCACACGTAGTTATTTACATTAAAATTAATTAAAATTCCATAACATTCAAAGTTTAGTTCCTGAGTCACCCTCACCACACACACTTTAAGAACTCAATAGCCACATGTGGCTAGTTGCTTCCATATTGGGCAGCAGAAATATTGAACTTTTCCATAATCTCAGAAAGCTCTATTGAACAATACATTATATAATGGTACCACCACTTGGGAATCACATGCACTTTAAGATTCTCACATAACCTAGACTCTAGAGAAAGAGAACAGATGGGTCTGATGTGTGGAATCTTAGAGAACCTGACTGGCTTTTATAATGATCCTTGTAATCAATGTAATAAAATTCATGCAGTTCAGTCCCACCACCTCTCTCCAATTGCTATAACAATGGACTTCCTGATAGTGGGTGTTTTCATGACTGTGCATACTAAGGCCATCTTGAAGATGGTTGTTTTCAGAAGTCTTCATGAGCTTTTTTCTATCTTTGCATCCATGGCACTAAAGCACCCATGAAAATGTTTCCACATGGAGTCAAGCTTGCCAGATACCCTGGCATCAACTGTGCCATCTGGGCCTTCCCCAGGTTAAAGATCAACAGAAAAACAATCAACTAATTACAGGAATTTTATATATCACATAAAGACAGGTAAAAGCAAAATGTTCTAAAATGAAAGGGAATATAGGTCATTCTAAGTCTTCTTTAGCAGAGAGAAAAATATACGGAAACTCTGAAGAGAAACACCTAAACTTGGGAGTATAAAGATGAAGAGCTTGAACTCATGATTTCTACTGGGTGAAGAGACTATTGCCCTTGTGTATTCCTTTTTAATTTTGTAAAACATATTTTTATTGATTTCAGAGAGGAAGAGAGAAGAAGAAAGAGACAGAAATACCAATGATGAGAGAGAATTATCATTTGGCTGCTTCCTGCATGCCCCCAATGGAGACAGCCTGCAATTTGGGCACATGCCCCAACCTGGAACTGGACTGCAACCCCCGGTTCATAGGTCATGCTCAACCACTGAGCAACACCAGCCAAAGGTGTATTCCCTTTTAAATGCTCCTCTTGTGATGCACAATTTTCAAGGAGCTATGTATATGTACATTTTTGTGTACATAATATATGTTTTACTACATACCACACATATATACACGCACAATACTAGAAAAAGTGTGGGATTTCTATATTGTCTATGAGCTGTGACTTCCTAAACAGAAAAATGAGAAGACTACCTTTCCCAGAGAATTATGAGGACTAAATAAGAAAACAAATGTAGATTAATCCTTTACAAATTAAAGGATCAGTATTAGAAAATGTTTGCTTATGGCTGTTACCCTCCCAGTATCCCTAGAGGAGGTGAACTAGTGGTAATGCCATTTAAGATAGATAGGAATTATCTCATAGAGAAATTAAAAAGCACCTTACCCAGACTTTAGGATGAGTTAGTGGCAAAACCAGAACTTTGAGCCTCTGAGTTTCCAGCCCATTACTCATCCTGCCACACTCCAATAACCCTGTATTTCTCTGTGTGCTGCTTGAGCATATATGAGGCAAACAAACCCCTTCATAACAGTGAAGGAAAATTACAGACGCTATTTGAAAATGGAGCAGTTTTTCAAGAGATGAATGTTATGTACCTGTAAATGTGAAAGCTAAGCCACAAGGGAAGGGTTATCTATGGAACATATATTCCAGTAATAAGGAAAAACTGAAATGTGATTTAAGAAAGAGTTGGGGACAGAGAAAGGGAACAAGTGGCAAAAAAATGCCATTGAAATGATTTGGGCTAGCTATATACTACAGAAGGTAGAAATATCGTCAACATACAAAGGTTTGACCAACCCAGTAAGAAATCTAAAGCAGGCTCTTGTACGTTTCTGCTCTTGATAAAACTATACTTTTCTGCCCTTAGCAAAATATAAGAAATTTTATTTCATATTCGATCATCTGGGGCTCTGTTACCTGCAACGTAGCTACAATGTGTACTGAGGCATGACATGGCCTTGAGACCATCATCAAATCACCAAAACCTTTAGTGTTCCACACTACCAACATCATTTTCTGGAATGTTTCCGTCATTTAAACTTGGGCAGCCATGGGCGGCAAACATGACAACATGCAAAGGATGGCAAACTTCCACATTTCCCAAATGCCGTGAAGTCTCCTTTAGATGGCTTGGGTGAAGCTGAACCATACAAATTTCGTTTCACAGCTTGGCATAAACTTGGTAACTTCCTAACATTCTGTTCAGTAAGTGACCAGGGCTCTCTAAATTGCTGTGGTTTTTTTTTTAAGCTACACAGCCTTTCCTCCAAGACTTGAATATACTCCATCCCAGCACAAAGTGCTTTGTCAGCTTTCTGAGCTGTTGAAAGCATACAGAAATGTTCATGTTGATGCCAGGGTGACAGTCTATGTTACATACTCAAGTGATTCTAATTTTCATACTCCTCTCCACGCCCCCTTTTTTTGAGCCAGAATCCAGTCTGTTTGTCATAGGCATCTTCTGTATTACAGATGACATAGGATTAGCAAATAGGGGAGTGACATCCATGTAAGACCAAAGTATGTTTGGTTCATGTGTGAACTTTTTGTAGGATATTATAGTTTTAGAGACATCAGGGGCAGCTTTTCTCTTAAGTAGAAGGCTATGTGGTTGCTTTTGAGGAACAAAAAAAGTCCTGAGCAGTGCCTTTGCATAGTCTAAGAAGTGGCAAGAAGAAGACTAGTGGTTTCCAGAGCCATTCCTCTATCTCCTCTGCTAAGTTGTCTGGGAAACCATGAGAACGGATGAAGAAACTCTACTCCCTCCTGAGTGTAAAAAGGAAAGAACATGGGCTGATGAAGAGGAAAAACCCTGGATCCGATTTTTAAGTTGGCATACAAGGGTCTCTATTAGAAGGGAATGATTTCCAAGACTGGTTAGTGAGAAGGAGCCCTCGGATACAGGGCTAAGGATGGATTCAAAGGGATTCTGACTGCCAGAGTGAATGGGAGTCAATGGGCCAGTGTTTTGATTAGGGTTGTTACTATTTTTATTGGTTCTCTGGATACAAAACTGCATAGACTGTGAGTGATCTGTCTCAACCCCATTTTCCTCACTGGACCTATCACTACTACGTGTGATTTTATAAGCACACATGTATAGAAATGGTCCACACCGTCTTTTTCTTTCACTTGTTCTCATCCACAGAAAGCAATTCTGTCTGGGCTATCTCCATAGTCACAGGCAAGAGACCTCTCCTCCCATGGTCCAGAAACCAGGTGAGCATCACTCTGATGTCACACACACAGCCTTTTAGAGGAGGAGTCTCTCTTTACTGAGAACTTACCCCCTGGGACATTCCCCTGAGAGGCCTCCTTTTTCTTCCTCTGGAGTCTCTCAAGTGGTGTTTCTATGCAGCCCAGATAATTAATGATTAATGCATATAAAGGCACCTAGGACAATGCTTGCCATCTAGCATAAGCTCAAAATATGTTTGTGATTAGCACTATGATTATTTTGTTTCCTTATAGTTCCGCTGAAAGCATGACTTCTCTGAATTTTCTGCAATTCTTTAGTATTTAGCTCTATAGATTTCTACCTGTCCACATCAAAATCTTCCTGATCCTATCCTATTTCAGGTCAATGATAATTTTTAAATTTCCTTTCTTTATGAGAGAGGACCATTAGTATTACAAATGGCATTACAAAACTCAATGAAATTGAATATTGAACTCAGTCTTGCCCCTACATTTAAGCTTTGGGAAGGGGAAGCTTTATTTCTGTGTGACCATGAGAATTTACTTCATGGTTTCAAAGTATAAAAGGTGACATTTCAGCCAATACTGTGTTTCTGCCAGTGCTGTACTACTGTCTTATGGTGAGTTTAGAGAAGAAAATGTGAACATTTCTGTTTAGCAGAGTCTAGCAACCCAGAATCCTTGGGGAAGTTCACAATTGTGCATAGAGAATGGGAAGTGGGAAGAACGAGATGCCTTTTCATTGTTTGAATGTGTCACTTATATGATATTAAAGAAAAGTCAACTCACCAACCAGATGTTTAAAAAATTCAAAACATTTATATTCAATTGTAGACTAAGAGGGTGATTTTTCTTAAATATCCCTATATGGCTGAATGTTTAATTTTCACCTTCTACTTCAGTGTTTTGACTTGAGGAAATGAATTCTTAAGGAGTAATTGGGTCTCCCTTGGTAAGCATTTCCTTACCTCAACTTTTTTCCCCTACAAAAAAACACTCCAACTGGGCAAATGAAAGAAATCAGAATTCAAATTAGCACAGAAGTTCTGTTTGTGTTTAGATAACAAAACACTCTTAAATCCTAGTTTGGAAGTAGAGAATTTAACACTGCAGGCAAATAAAAAAAGCTCCACATAATGGAGTGGGCTTCAAAAGGAACAGTCTTTCCATGCAGACTTTGAAGGTCCGTTAAGAATAATTATTTTCATGTTTTTGAAAAGAAAACACTGTTATGAGAACATGCAGTGTTTGCATTCTTGAGTCTTTGGGTAAATTAAATTTAGCTTAATCATATCCACTGGCAAATGCTTTTGATAAGGCTATCTTCCATCATTGTTTACTACAGCAGCAATAACTACGTATAATTAGCTATTCCCTTCTACACCATCATTAAAATTTGCATTGGTATGGTAGAGGCTCTAGATTTTTAAAGGCTGAGGAAAACTGGCTGAATCATCTTGCTATATTTGAGAAACTTTGTGCACACAACAA